TATACACACACACACACACACACACACACACACACACACACTCTCTAATAAAATAAATTTTAAAAAATTACAACGTTTGGAATATTAAAGGATACATTAAGGAAAAACTAAAAGAGGTGATAAATAATGAACACTGCATTGAAATAGATGAGGGTAAGAACTGTCTAAAAGTAATACATGATTAGGTATTATCTGCAAGACAACAGTCCAGAATAAGAGGTGCACAGCAAAGTGGAACTGGGGAGTGGAAGGGAGGGAGAAGGAGGAAATTGTGCAACAATGAATTTTTTTAAAGAGAAAAGCAAACTGGGGTGGGTAGGGAGGGAAATGTGCAACACTGAATGAATGGAAATCCAAGTTTTCTGTAAACTTTTGTCAAAACAGCAATTTTTTTTAAAAAAAGGCATCACACTAACTCAAGCAGATGTCATTTTCACATGCAATAAAGCAAATTATGGAACTGGCCAGTCCCCAGGAAGCAGCTACTTCGAATGTTGGGATAATGGTGTTGGGATCATTTAGATTCAGCTGGAAACAGCAAATGGATTCTTTCCTATGATGTGACTCATTACTTAAATGTAGAAACACAACACATCAGGAAATAAATACAGCCATGGCTGTAATTAGAACACACAGGCCCTGCACCATTCATCTTTATCAATTCTTCTCGCCCAAGCACGAATGATTTAGATTTGCTTTCAATCAGTCTTAAGAGTTCTAAATGGTAGACTAACTTTACACACAAAATTAACCAGAAGATAAAAGAAGTATCGTATCAGAGATACGTTTTTTTAATCTACTAAAACAAACAGGTGTTTTGGAAACGAATTGATCAATAAACAAGGATACTCCATTTTCCAAGTTGGAACTTGATATGCCCTGTGAAAATATTTACAGAAAGGTTACTTGGAAATGTACATTTTGCTACAGTTAGGAGGAAGCGTGCATGCTGAAGAGGACAAGCAAAATAAGAAAATGTGCTCTGGAAGTGTTTGCCTTGAATCCTACAAGCAGGAGAGAGTGAAACAGATCAACAGGATCTTCTAAGGAGCAAATACCTACGCACTTCAAACAACTTCTCCAATGAAGTAAAAAGGAAACCCACAGATTGGGGAAAAATATATGGCAATGCATATCTGATAAGGGACTCATATCTAAAATTTATAGAATACCCCAGCACCTCCAAAAGAAAAAGGTAAACAATCCCATTGTAAAATGGGCACAAGGTAAGAAGAGATACTTCACCAAAGACGACATTCAGATGGTAAACAAATACATAGAGAAATGTTCAAAATCCCCAGCTCTAAGAGAGATGCAAATCAAAACAACTATAAGCTGTGGTATATTCGCACAATGGAATACTATGCTGCATTAAAAAACAAGGAACTCATGCAATATTATTCAAAATGGTTGACTCTGGAGAACATTATG